ATGAACGTATCTAGTTCTTTTTTGATGGCCTCAAAAGATACTATTCCACACCAGAAAGGAAGGCAGTAACCTACCCATCCTACACTTGAGTACCTCAGCTACAGTCTGACCAAAAAAGGGCTTTGTAGCAGGTCCCTAACGATGCTTCCCTTTCTGGCCTCTACTTATGACCCAAAGGAATGCCAAGCATTACTGAGCCTCTTGGAACATGCCATGCTAGAAACATTACTCTCAGCCAAATCCAAATGTCGTGTCAGAGGGCTTAATGTCTACACAAGGGGTTTAAACCAGATTAAGTCAAATTAATCCAGTTCAAAAATGCTTGCATACACACAATGCAATCCATCACAGCACACAATCTCTGCATTTATCACAAACTCTGGAGTCCTCTTCCAAAGTGGACTACATTTGTTGCAAATTGAGTTAGATGCAATGTTGCTGTTGAGCAGAGCCAGATAAAGCACAAGCAGATCAGTAGGACCTATATTAAAACCCAGGATGACCGGAAATAATCTGGCAAGGGACTTGTAATGTACCCATTTTCTGAGGAACTGGACAGGATTTTGCATAAATACATAACCACCCAACCCAGAAAGGTTGTGGAACCTTCTGACCACTCTTCTCCATCCCTCCCAAGGATAACCAGCAACACTCACTGGAGGATGAGAATGAAGAGGGCAGTGAGGAGTTGTCCCCTGAGAGCCAGGCTCTGATGCCAGCCAGGTAGAAAGCCAACCCAATTCCTGTCCTGCAACAACAGAGCCCAAATCCCAGCCAGAAACCCAGGCTGGGGTCCAAGAGGCAGATCCTCTGGAGGGAATTTCAGCACGTATCTATATTTACAATGTATTATTATTTGTGGATAGCCATGATAGCTTCTGTTTCAGGTGCCCCATTGCCCCAGCCATTTTAGGCAGAGGTGAGCTAGGAGACTTTCCAAGCCTCCAGCCCCTGCCTCCCTCCCTCCACCCATGCTGTCTGCTCACCCTCCACCCCCATATACATTTCCAACTACCCTGCTCCACCCAGGTAATCAGCCTCTGTCACATGCTAAAGCCTTGATCATTGACCATTTTCGGGTCATGCCACGGAGGGCAAATGCCCTTCTACCTATTTTCCTTTCCACTTCCCTCATCTGTCCTGCCCAGTGAACACCCACACCTGGCGGTCTTCAAACATAGCTGCCTCATTGCCTGCTGCTGCCACAGAGGAGAAAAAAAAAAAAAAGATCCAGTCAGCAAGAAGTAAGGATCCAACAAGTACATCTGCACTTTAGGTATCTGTAAATTACTCAAATCTACCAATTATTTCAAGACACTAGAGAGAAAAGGATGGATGTTTACCACACCAGGAGTGGATCAACATCATCACTATAGCTGTAGCTTTAGCCCGAATACCCTAAACGGGCTCCTACAAACCCCTTCTCAGGCAGAACCTCCAACATTTCCCCCCGCTTTCTGATTTACTTTCCCATTAGCACCCTCCACCACCTGTGTCGTGATGTTTTTTCCTCTGGCTGAGGGAGAGCTAACTGTGGCATTCTGGAGTTCCTCATCTCTGCTCCTCAGGGCTCTGCCCCTGTGATTGTCACTGCTGTAGTGTGCTCAACCTCAGATTTCTGGGTAGCTGCTAGATTACAAAGCCAACTTCAACGTTCACGCCATATGTTATGTAATCCTGGAGAAAACAAAACCGAAGGTGTCCCCTTAAAAAGTAATCACAGCTCGATCCCTTACGTAACATATGCACAGGCTCAAGTTTAGCCCGATCTCTTCCTATATTAAATTTTAAAAAGTCACAGCAACAGAGGACAGGCCCATCTGTTAAATGTGTGGGAGATTTGTGACATAATGATCATGTTCATTCTAGACAAAACAATCTGAATACCATGGGAGACATTAGAGGCAAATGAGTAACTTTCCCAGGCTGTTCAGTCATTTAAGTGGCATGACATCAGCGAGTATCTTTTAGAGGGACAGAAATGTATGTGCCCTGCAAAGCCTCCTGGCTTTGCAAAATGGTACTATTCAGTGATTCGCTCTCCTGGAATCTCTTGACTTCAAGAGTATCCCGATTTGTAGGCTATCATTTGAGAATGTGTTCATTACAGAAAAGCATGCCCCAATGCCAAGAACTCAGGTCTCGCTATTTTTTCAATGACACACTCAAGGCTCCTTGCTTCAGCAATTGGGAGCACAAGGACATGGAAAATAAAGCCACAGGATGACCAGATCTGCAGTCCTGCTAACAAGGACAGTGCCTGAAATTGCATCCCAGGACCAGACAGTCCTCTGAAAGTATCCTGGGCTCACTAGGAGAAAGGGATGAGGGCAGTCAGAGCAAAACCTAGAGGTGTTAACTTGGGTGACATTTGACACCACTTGCCTGGGAAACCGATCATTCCAGTCACTTTCACGGACGTTGGGACAAAGAATTTAAAATCAACTATCCTCACAGAAATAACGGTTCCTCAGCCCCCAAGAAAACAGATTGTGTATAGTACAAACATATATGTGATTAATACATTCCAGGAAAAACAAACCCCCTCGTTCTAAATTCCTGTCTAAATCCTTATAATCTCACTCAGGCTAGGAAGGTATTTATACTGCGCTCGTCACCGTGGTATTTAATGACGTGGACATCATGTAAATAAACATTGAAATAAGAGTATTCTTTAGTGATCATGGACACTAAGGAACTAATACATATGGTTCCGTACGAGAAGCCCCAGATCAGCTATAGGACTAGTTACCATACTATATAGGATATCATTGCAGGGGTATCATCCTGTATGCCATCCGATAGGATGGCTCAAAACTGTATAGAAGGAGATGGTAACTGCATTAGGCTAAGCAGAAATCACCCCTCATGTAAAGATGTGTGATTATAAAAACCGTGAACAGCATTAAAAATACCATTTGGAAGGGTGGACTTCAAAGAGCAGAGGTCCATCCACTCAGGCCCAGTTTCAACATGGTTAAAAATCATCCAATGAAAGGAAGAGCATGGCATTTTATTTTCCTGGATGACAGGAATTCAGGGATTAAAGTTTTTTTAAAAAAAAGTCCTTCATCCTCCCCATCAGTTAGTGGGAGTTACAAGATACAGGGTAACCAAGGAGCAGCATGGGTGGGTGTCCTCAGCCAGCCTGTTGTGTTGTTAACATGTCTTCATTAGACTTCAAAAACATGTGACCCATTGTGACTAAAAGTACACTGGTAACTCCTGCCGCCTAGTGGTAAAAACATTTCCTTTCTAAAATAATGAATGACAATGTCATTTTAAAAACAAAGCAATTAAGCTTTATTAATGTAACTTCATGGAAAGAACAGAAATGAATACAGGAGGAAATTCACCCCTGTGCAGAGAGCGAGCATAAAGACTATACATCACTTTAGCCCCACTAAGCCCTGTTTTGATAACTTAAATGTCGTCTGCACAGGAGTGAATTTCACCTCCAGTCAATACATGTCTCTCTGCAAAAGGACCCAATCATGCTCCCAGAAACTAACATAAATCCAGTTATTGTGGGTTGCAGCTGGCGTGGCTGAGGACAGAATTTGGCCCAAGCACTATAAATCACAATTAACCATGTTAATTTGAAATCTATTTATTTTTTAGTGTCTCTATTATTTTGTTTTAATTTATTATTATAGGCGCACGGATGTTTACCGCTCCTCTCAGACAATCCTGATAACAAACCAAGCTCTCTCAATTGGGGGGATTCTCCCAGAAAACATTTTAATTAAATAAAGTCACAGCAAAGTAGGGTAGCTGTTACTGGCAGAAAGTCCTGTCACAGTAGATCTGAGCTCTAGTAATATCTAACATTACCAGACCTTTCCAAACATATTTCTATGCAATCCATTAGTGAGGTTATTAACCTGGGTCCTTGTACCTTTGTGCTATGAAAACCAAAGTGAGATTCAACTAAGGCCCTCTGTACTTGTGAGAGGGCTGATATATAAACCCTGTTTCTGTTCAGGATAGGTTGCTTTGTGAAATACATAAACTCTAACAAAAATCCTCCTCCATTACGTGGGAGTAGCTTCCCATGGCTCCACCCCAAGCTGACATGGTGCTTGAGCTCTCCGGCTGGCTGTTGCACCACTCAAATGAAACACGAACACCATCAGTCAGGTTGCTGCCAGAGCGCACTCCTTCCCTGTTAGGGATTCACAGCAGTGAAGTATGTGTGATTAAAGAATAATTTCTTCTATGGCCCTCTGAGGGAAAAGGCAGACTCTATGAGACGTCAGTAGAAGACAGACTAGTAATAGCTAGAAATGAGTTGTAGCCGTTTGAAAGAGCTTCAGTACCTAAGGTACTTGGATCTCCATGGGAAGGATGGTTTAGCTCATCGAATGTACGTCCACATGCTGAGAGACAGCTATTCTACATTGGGCTGGCCCAATGTTCACTAAAGTCAATGGGACTCTTTCCATTGACTTGAGTGGGTTTTTGATCAGACTCTGCATTAGCTAGTAAGATGGACTAGAGCCAACAGGTTTTTCCCCAAAATCTAATTCTTTGAGGTTGCAGAGTTGTGCTGTAGTGGGGGCAGCGCAGTCTCATTCAATTCTCTAACCAGGATCTCTAGGTCCGAGATCCCCCACTGACCAGTTCAGAGGATTGTGTGGAGAAGGGAGGCTCAGAGTATGTCGGGTGGTTGGCACTGAAACAGGCTCTGTTGCCAGGAAGGACGGCACAGCAGGTCTCCCCCATCATGGCAGCTTTGTTAAGCAGCTCGGAACGAGGCAGGATTTTGCCAGGCAAACGGAGATGATGATGCTAGAGGTAGAACTTGCTGGAACCTTTGCCCTGCCCTCAACCCCATCAGTGGCATGGAGAAACCGCGACTACAGCAGGTTTCAAGGGAACTGTCCGTGGATGCTTTGCTATCCACTCAGCTCTGCTTATAGGAGGTGAGGAAAAATACTCAGGAAGCCTCCATGCTACCCAGTGCGTGGGGAGCAATGTGGAAGCTGAGCCATACTCACAGGAGTCTGAAAACAGTAGAAAAGCTGGGTGAGGAATGGGTGGCTCCTGGCCAGGGACAGGATGCGCTTCTCTGTCATGGTGCATTCCACATCGTCATCCTGGAGAATAACATCCTTCTTCAGCACCTTCACGGCATACAGCTGGTCCGTCTCTTTTATTTTGGCAAGCATCACCTAAACCAAAGCAAGAGAATGAACCATACAGGCTAAATCCTGCTCTCTCCCACACAAGTATGGCAGGAGGACACAGGGGCCTCTCACACAACCTGGCAGGAGATGGAAGACAGCATATCTTCACGGCACACAGTCGTGAAGTCCAGCCAACTAGCGAGGTCAGTGTCAGCGGACGTGGGCGTGGCCACCAGTGTGACCATCTAGTGACAAAGCTAGCTAGCATGTGTGCTGCCATGAGAGCAGGCCCTATCCAGCAGAAGTGGCCATGCAAGTTGCTCAATGCTGTAAGGAGCAGCAAATCTCTCCTAGACCTGGTCAGTGGCATCCTTCCCAGTGCCCACAGGAATCCTCTACCATAACACACACCACGCCATGCCATCTGTCCCACCTTGCTGCACAATCAGAGTTTGGCCCATTCACCAGTTTTGACTGCACCATTTGCACAATGGCTTTGAGGCAAAAACCAGGCCCATGGTTTCCTGGTAGATGGAGAGTGAGCTCTGAACTGCATTGAGCTCTGACACTATTACCTTGCATCCTTTAAAGGAGAAAGAAAAGGAGTACTTGTGGCACCTTAGAGACTAACCAATTTATTTGAGCATAAGCTTTCGTGAGCTACAGCTCACTTCATGAAGTGCCACAAGTACTCCTTTTCTTTTTGCGAATACAGACTAATACGGCTGTTACTCTGAAACCTTTAAAGGAGAAGTTCATCTTCCCAAGGAAGTGCTGCACAAGTGAGCATACTTGACATTTCTGTTATGCTCCCTTGCATGCGGAAATTATTCTTTTGGTTGTGGCTGTTTTCCCCTTTTGTTGTAGTCAGTGTTTCAGTTTGTGGTTGGTTTTATATTCCCCTCCTCTCCCCTCTATAGCGGGTCTTTCTGCATACATGTGTAATCACCCTGATATTCACACGTGCTGAGCTCCCATGCAGCGCCCACTGATTTCCAGTCATGTTTCTCCTGACAGAGATCTTACCTTTTATCTGGTTTGGGAAGCACCTCATGTACTTGGGAGCCACTAAAATAACAAACAACAACAACGACACTACTATTTCGTGAAGAGCCAGGAATAAAACTCACCTTCCCAAAACTGCCCTTTCCCAGCACTCGGATGAAGGTGAAGTCTTTGATCCCGAACCTGCTTGCTGAACTTCCACTCACACCGTTGCCGTCGTTTGGACTTTCTTTTCCCTGGTGCCTCAGCGTGGATCTTGAAACTAATTTCTGGGGAGGAAAATAACCGAGTTTGTCTAAAAATTGTATTTCCACTATGATATGCTGCAGTGTTTACTAATGATGTATCTGTCTGGGTACGTCTGCTGTGCTCAGCTGCACTGTACTGCAGCTGAAATACATTGGGCATAACATCACTCCAGGTGTCATGTGCAACAAGCCCACCCACCATCATCCGTGGCCACAAAGAAACATAAGAACTGTTTCTTGCTCTGTGTTTGACCTTGTAAAGTCACTTTGCTAAACCTAACAGGCAAGCCTGACCTCCCTACTTTGGAAATGGGAGAGCTGAGTGAAAAAACCTGGGAATCTTCCATCTGAATTATTGGGATATGAATAAATATGGCTACTTAATACCTCACAGCATGAATAATATCAGTGACATTTGGAATCCAAAAGATTTGTGTCTAGTCATTTCCCCTTCTCAGCCTCCCTTCCTGCTTACTAGCTACCTCCCTACCACTGCTTCCTCCTTCAATACAAATTCCTTTGAAGCTTTCTCCTCCCTAACTATAGGGCAGATCCAATTTAATGGTGTCCCTTTACATTTTCAAGAGTACTGCCAGTATCAATATCTTTCTACCGCTATTATTTTTGCAGTAGTTAGATCAAGTCAATATCCAGTACTCTCTGTTCATGGCTCTACAGATGTGGGTGCAAAGACAAGCCCCAAATACTTACAAAATAAAGGAGACTCTTGCTCCTTTCCCTTCCCCCCGAACTTAGTCACACACAGATTTCTTGAGCTCCACCTTGTGACTGTTTCATAGTAATGCAAAATTCACAGCTGCACAATGAGACCTTTGACAAGGCCAATGTTACAGTAATTGAAAATTCAGCTGTGCAGAATGAAACAAAACCATTTGGAACAGCTCCCCAAATCCCTAACAAATATAAGCTCCCAACACATCCTGATAACTTAATCACATCCTTTACCTCACAAACAATTAGGAAAGCCCACTATGTACCAGGGCACAGATACGTTGTATCTATATGTTGTGCAGATTATACGGAGGACATACTACAGTGTCTGCTTGTTCAGAGCACAGGCTGCCCCCATTGAAATGAATGGGTGCTTTGGGAGCTCTGTAAATCAGAGAATAAATGATTAACTCTATTACAGTTTGTGTTACGGACAGACGGATGATGATGAGAGATTTGAAAATCCCTGTAGGCCTATTTTGCTATGAGCTTGATCCAAAGCCCACTGAAGTCAACAGGGGCAAGAACCTCAACTTGTCCCATTGATAGGCTATGCAGATTTACATCATCTGAGGCTCTGACCTGGGAATCTTTCCACTGAGTTCAGCAGGCTTTGGATCAGGCCCTTTGTAGCTGGAGAATCAGCCTATTATTTGTCTTTCTTTTCCTCTACGTCTCTTTCTTTTGCCTGTTCTATTTCTTTCTTACCTTGGTTCTACATGAAGACTAAGATGGTTTTATGACTTACGCCAATATACAAGTGTTAACTTCCTCTAGTTATATGTTGAAATTTGTCATGTCTGATTATTTATTTTGTCACTTTTTAGGTTTTATTTATTTTACCTTTTTATGTATTTTTTGAGAAATATTAGTCATCATAAAATTGAACAAACCATTGTAAGTGGATAGGTTACCAAGGCCTACTCTTATTTTCTGGGCTGCACAGAGGTTTTGGGGGGTCTGGGACAAAATCTGAAACTGAGGCCCTACCAGCCTTCCAAAAAATTTACCATGGAAATGAAATAGTTTAAGTAGAATATTACTGAAAAACTTTAAAGCTGATTTATTATCACAAAAGACAAGTCACACCATGTTTATCTTTCTTACTCTTCTTGACAAACACATTTCTGACGCTATCATAATTTGGGCTCTTTGCAAGATCACACACTGTTAGCATCACTTAGGCCAATATATGCATTTTTGGCTCATGGTAAATCAGAGGCAGTTTTTAAATCAGGGCTGACTTGTTTGAGTGCTCCCCTTCGGAAAGTGAAATCAGTATGGAAATGAAAATCCTTAGAGCAACACAGGTCTGTGGGAAAACACACTGCAGTTCTTTTTCATAAATCTTGTTTAATTTAACTGTAAAAAGAAAAGGAGTACTTGTGGCACCTTAGAGACTAACCAATTTATTTGAGCATGAGCTTTCGTGAGCTACAGCTCACTTCATCTGATGAAGTGAGCTGTAGCTCACGAAAGCTCATGCTCAAATAAATTGGTTAGTCTCTAAGGTGCCACAAGTACTCCTTTTCTTTTTGCGAATACAGACTAACACGGCTGTTCCTCTGAAATTTAACTGTAGTTACTTTTCCAAATAGCGTCTCTCTCTTAGATTGTTAAAAAAGGTGAATTTCCTCTTCTATTAAATCTCTCAAGTAGCCTTTTGATAGTTCTCGAGCTTTTGTGATATTGGAATTGGCATAATTTATAATTGGCTTCCAAATAAATGAAAACATGCTGTTGATTTTTGAAGCGGGTTCAGATCTTCTTCTATTTGTGTGGATAAGCAAGTCTAAAGCAACATAAAAAATGTCAACCCTGAACTCAGTTTCTTGGTTTTCATGGTCGTACGTGGTGGTCCTGTCTTCACCATAGTGTGTTTTCCTCCTTCTGCTTCTTTTCTTCTTGAAATCTTTTTGAAGGCCCAGGTCCACTTCTACAAGTTTTGACTAGTCAAGAATCAGAGGCCAAGATTCTCAAAGGCGCTCCAGTTCACTTAGGAGTCATTTCGTCAGCCTTGATTCTTCATCAAGTGTAAGCTCAGAGTCTTGAGGTAAACTCCTTAAGATGCCAATGGCTTGTAGAGCTTTAAACCAGAAAGTAGCCAGTAAAACAAATTTGAAAGACTTTAACCATTTAGACAAACATTCCACTTCGCTGCATAAGTCCACGGGCAAGTCAAATTCTTCCTTCAGTTTCACCAAAGGTTGTAGAATTTCCCCTCTCTAGTGGTTTCACTGCTTCAATTCCTGCACCGGGTTTGCTACATACTATGCAACAAAATGTTTGCAGCTTCCATCGGGCAGGACTGGAACAGAATATATCCACTGACAGACTGATCAGGCAGAGAAATGGTTTTGTACCTTTGCTTATTTCTATTGATATACAGACCCTCTTTAATTTTATTCCCGATACGTGAATGACTGACATGTAGAATTGTAACCCACCCTCTTCATAAAATTCCATATGAGTTTTATTTAAGCTAGAGTGCCTTCATCACTTGGCCTTATACAGATCAGTAATAAATAAAGACTCATGCTATTCAAAGACTGACTGTCTCACATGCAGGCTGTGCAGAGAGTACTGCAGCAGGACCTCCTACTTTTATATGGAGTCCGTCACAGCATTGTAAGCCTTTTTTCCATTTTCTGCATTTTCTTGTCTTTGGAATTCATGTAGTATAATTGGGTTGTGCATAGTAGTTGTGCATATTGTTCCTTGGGCTTGGAGGCCCCCTCAAATGGGGGGAGGGCTCAGGGCAAACTGCCTTGTTTTCCCCTCCCCTCACCACCTTGGCCAGCCCTGCTTATTTTCATAAATATTTACAGACATTTTCACTCTTTGTTACATTAAATTTTATAACGGTCTAAATAGATTGCAGAATACTTTAAAATACATGAATATACAGCGCATACTTAGGCCTCAATCCTACAAACTCTTACGCACAATAGGACTAATCAAGTACTTAAAGTTAGGCATCTGTGTACTGTTTGCAGGACTGGGGCATTATACCCCTGGAAAGTTCCCACTGTTATATGACCTCTCAGCTGAAGGGATAGGGGCTGCTTTCAATATAACTCCAATAAATAATAATATCTAGTTCTTACATAGCACTTCCTATCCATAGATGTCAAAGCACTGTACAAAAAAGGTGACCACCATGACTGCCGTTTTACAGATGGCTAAATCGAGACAGAGGGAGGTGCAGCGACTTGTCCAAGATCAGCCAGAAAAGCAGTAGCAGAGCTGGGAATAGAACCTAGGTCTCCTGAGTCCCTGTGTAGTGCTCAATTCACTAGGTAACACTGTCTCTCTATTTGCCAGTGGACATGTCCCTGAATAACACTGACCTTTAAACTAGATTTGGGGCTGGATTCTCCTCTCACTTGTACAACTCAGGCACAGTTCAATGGAGTTTCACTGCTGTAAGTGTGAGAGGGGAATCAGACCCTGGATTTTGCCATATTTTACATTGACCTAACAGGAAGAAACACACATTGAAGCCTCTGCAATATAAGCTTGGAAACTAAACATTCATTTTCCAGATGAGGTGTTTGTTGAATGTCACAGAACAAAAGGCAATTGGTCCAGTGCACCCCACAATGCCATTCATTCTAACCAAAGCCCTAACCAACTTCTCTTGTGCTTGTACAAACGACACGGCTGTAAACTCTGATAAAGAAAAGAGAAAAGTCTCACCGAATTTGGAGAAATATTTCCTGGCTGCAGGCCCATACATGCCAAGGTTTTGGCCAGTTCTGCTGCATTCACCCCACAGTTGGGTGCCACGTTGGCTTGGCACCTAATATGTACATTCATTTTACACACTGAGGGGGTGAAAAATAAAATCAAATGAACAACTGGAACAATGCTGAGAGAAAGGCTCAGAATGTTACTGCTGAAAAATAACATGGACTAAAGGATTTCACTCCAGAAAATCTACATCATTGCCCTGATCCTGAGCTACAGAAGCCAAAGAGAACAAGGCTATGGACATCAGGTGACAGTACACCAAACATGATGCAACATGGTCAGATGTCCATTTGTGTACATGTATGAGTGTGCTGAGTACAAGGGGTACACACACTACTTTGAAGCTATGCCCACAGGTACAAATTAGCTCCAGGATGCTATGGAACTTAGTGACACACTTCAACAGTGGTTGTCAAAAAAGCTGGATGAATAATGGATGTTTCAGTTTGCTGGGAAAACGGAAAATTTTAAAATTATTATCAGGGGACCAAAAAGTTGAAAAAAAAATGTTGGGGGTTCCACAAAATATTTCATTTAGTTTTTGAGCTTTTTTAAAGATGGTTTTTAATTTTTTAAGGTTTTTTTCAACCAAAACTATTCAGCTAATTTGAGACAAAATTGCAAAATGTTTTGGTCAATTTGAATCTGCACTTTTTTAGCAAAAAAAATTTGACGAAATTTTTTTGCCCAATTCTAGTTTACAACTCTCTAATTTCACATCCATATCATTCAACAGAAAACTCACACAGACAGAGAACATTGGGGGAGGTGAAGGCAGATGGAGATAGAGCATTGGTTACTTAAAAGGCTTGATAATAATAGTCATCAAACAAAAACTAAATGCTGGAAAAGCCTTTTCAGTCAATTAACCATGTGACAAAGAGCCATGTTAATCAACAAACACTGATGACTTTTCCCCTGTTAATGTTTTTTTCCCCGCTACCTTGTTAGTATTCACTGCTTAAGCAAAGGCTCTCAGGTACATAGAAAGAGCAATGCTAGAAGTAGCAATATCCATGAGTATTTTCAGCTATGTGAGTGAAAGAAAATTGGACAAACAGTGCAAATTAGAATCCACTCTGCAGCCTGGAAAAACAAGAGCTATAAATCACTTTTGTATCCACGGACTAGAGAGGAGTGTAATATTCTTTCAACAGTTTAAGCTAAAATATACAGGAAATTGTTCCTCAGTTCTTTGATTTTCCACACATCCATAGAAGTTTTCCTAAGAAAGCCTGAAGAAAGAATAAGGCTGGCTTACTTTTACACTGCAGCCCTTGCCGCATTATCCCCCACAGCAAAGAACCACAATGATCGCAGAAGGTTGGTACTTTGTAGTTGTGGATCCTAAACTTGTGAGGAATGTTGATTCCAAATCTTTGTTCCAAAACCTGAGAAAGAATCAAAAAGACACACAGGGTAGAAAACTCTGTGTGTGTGTGTGTGTGTGTGTATATATATACATATGAATACACAGATATACAAGATAATTTTATTAATAAAAAGTACATTAATGTAAAAGCAGGGGGTTGGACTAGATGAGCTCCTGAGGTCTCTTCCAACCCTAATTTTCTATGATTAGGAACAACTGCAGAATTATTTTAAAAAATCCCAGTTCTGAAAGTGTCATCTTTGTTCTCCACTGCATTGTAATTTACCGAATGAGAATGCTATAATGTATTGACTGAGCTCTAATCAGCAATCAACCTGCTCTGGCAGATTTTTTGACATGCCTTGTAAGTAGAACAAAGTAGATTTTACAAAGGATTCATTAGCTAATTTCAAATTCTGACAATGAACTTGGAATTATTAAAACTAGATGGGACTTCTATTTGCCTCATCACAAATCTATCTCAAGCCATTTAAGTACTGAATACAAATTATTGTTAACTATAGGAGTTTGTTACTAACTAATCAGCATTAAAATGTTTAACTTATGCGTCACATGCAAAAATAAAATTCTTTAAAATGCTGACTCTCTCTATCATTTTTAGTACATGGCAACAGTTTTCCCAGGCCTTCCAAAATTCCTCATCTCTTTTTTACCACTTCTTATCAATGTTTATTTCCATTTTGGACACCGATTCATCTCCACTTCTCCCCCACCCCTCTCCCACACACACATCTGGGGTTATCCCTCTTTTCCAGTGTGAACTATTTAGATCACAAATGCAGAATCAGAAAACTTTAGAAAATGTTACACATGTTGAACAAATGGATCCTGTTTTATTTTGTGCCTCAACATTTCGGCCCTGGCAGATTGAAAGGTGAATCCATTATCTTAAGTAATTAAAAATATAGGTGCTAATGGAACAAGAAGTTTCAAGTCAATTATACCTCTTGAACTTTCTCTCTCTCTTTTTTAAAAAAAAGATTAGGTCTTTTTTTCATTGAAGTGATTAATTGCCATCTTGAGAGATTCGGTATTTGACTGACATTTTAGGATTGGTAAGAAGACATTAAAGTTTAGTTCAACAGTTCTGGTAAGAAATAGTGAACAACGGCATCTGTTCGCATGTTCTGGAAAGAACATTATTGGTTACAACACACCTTTTGTGGTGTAGATTTACTCCATGACTAGTAATATTCCTCATGGATCTTGGTCCTGGACGGATACTATAGAAACACAGGACATAGGATGGGAAGCGATCACCTGGGTCAGAGTCCAGTTGCCTGCTCTCGCAGGCAACCCTGTCATATAATAATCCCATTCATAAATTTATCAAGCTCCACCTTAAAATTAGTTAGGTTGTTTGTCTTCACTACTCCTATTCCGAGGATTGTTCCAGAGCCTCCCTCCTCTGATGGTTTGGAACCTTTTCCTAGTTTCCAGCCTCACTTTATTCATGGACAGTTTATACCCATTTGCTCTTGTCCCAACATTGTCCTTTAGGTGAAACAGCTCTACTCTCTCCCTGGTGTTTACTCCCTGGTGTATTTATAAAGCGCAATCATATCCCTTCTCAGGCTTCATGTTGCTAGGTTAAACATACCAAGCTATTTTATTCTTCTCTTCTAAGAAAGGGTCTATAATTCCCCTGATTACCCTAGCAGCCCTTCTCTGAATTTCTGGTTTTATCATGGACTGGGACATGGGTAGTCTGAACCAGTGGTGAGGGCCCAGGCATGGCCTAGTGGGTAGAGCTGAAGCTCTTCCTAGTGGTTGGAGCCAGGAACAGGAACCAGGAGTCAGAGCCAGGAGATGAACAAGGGCACAGGGCTGGCAGACTGGAACTGGACAGGAACAACGCATGAACAGGTCTGGAATGAGGCTGGAAACAAGCAGGTGATCGCAGCTGTGGGGGTAAATGTTCAGCAGCATGCAACCTGCTGCTGAGTTTAAATGCAGACGTGTAGGCTCCTCACAGCCAATCAGGAGGCCAGCCAATCAGGTGATGCTGCCACAACCCAACTAGGCTCACGAACCAACCTGAGAGCTGAGCCAGCCAACACCAGGCTCAGCTGAGGGAAATCGGGCCCAGAGTTCTTAACAGTTTTGAATTAATCCTTCTTGAACATGGGTAACCAGAATTGTACCTAGTATTCCAGATGAAGTCTTACCAGCACTTTGTACAATGGCAGAAATACTTCCCAATTTCTAGAGGTAATACCTCACCTGATACCTCCTAAATATTATCAAGCTCCAGGAATGAGCCATACAATTCACCAAACAGTCACATCCTTACCTAAAAGTGTGCCAAACAGAGCAAAAGCTATGGAAGAAGGAAGAATTAATAATAATAATAAAAGATCAAGAGGTGATTTGATTATGGTGTACAAGTACTTTCTTCAGGGGGAAAACAGCTACTAAGGGGCTCTTTAAGGTGTAACAAGGAGTCCAAGCCAGAGAAATTCAAACTAGAAATAAGACAATTATTTAAAAGTGAGGGTGATTAATCATTGGAACAAACTGCCAAGGGGAGTGGTAGATTCTCTAGCTCTGGAAGTCTTCAGATCAAGACTGGATGCAAACACAACAGGCTTTAGTCAAACACAAATTATTGGGCTCAATAGAGGATGAAATTCTATGGCCTCTGTTATGCAACAGGTTATACCATATGATCTAAATGGTCACTTCTGGCCTTAAAATCTATGAATCTGTGAATGGAGATAAGAAGCCAAAGAAGGATAAATTCCACTATTTTGCAACCACTACCACCCACATAAACCTGAAGATTCAGGAAGTCTTACGATCCAAGTAACCAACTGTGACTTTACCTTGGTGTCTGTCTTGTCAATATTGTTTTGGCACGTGCAGGCTGTAACAATTAGATGATGGCAACGCTTGTGTACAACACAGGTGCATACTAGGAAACAAAAGAAGCATATTGAACTTTATCAAAAAAGACTTAAAATGTATCAAACAATAAACTGGGCTCTGCTAGATTCCATGTAAATCATCAGCAGATAATGGAACAATAGGAGAAACGTACATCCTGGCTGAGATTTTCAAAGCCACCTAAAGGATTTGGATATCCAGTTTCCATTAATTTTAACAGAAATTGGAGCCCAAATCCTCTAAGAAGCTTAGAAAATCTCAGCCCATATAAATATCGGGAGATACATGCAGAAATGTCAGTGCAATCCAAACATGACTAACAATGAACTAAATCAATATGACCACCGAAATCTTCCAATGAAGAATATTACAGGTGATGCAAACAAAGGCCATAGAGGACATTGATTTGATAAATTTCAGACCCCAGACAAAGTCCAAGGTAGTGCCTCCAAGAAGGGATATTTGCGAGGCCAAATGTAACTCACTGGTGAGTGTGTGTCTAGAGATCCCCCCATAGCCTTACGCTTGCTTGCACTCGCAAGGGCCTATCAGTAAATGAACCCTTTCTTTTTGTTGAGCTTAGGCAGGAGACATTTGGTTTATCTGCAGTTCAGGTCCATGTGAACGCACTGGTGTCCCAGCACACCTCGTAAGAGCCAAGCTTCATTATTAGACTTACTGAAAGACCATTCCTGCAGGAAGCCAACTTAGAGGGCACAGGGAAAGGGAGAGGCCAAGACAAACTGATGAGAATTCATTAAACAGAAAAAAATACTGTAAAAATCAATACAGCATATTACTTTGCATTAGGCAAAAATAGTAGGTCAAACCACAAAGTTTCCTTTTGAAGTAATTTCTCTAATGTCAATTGGTTTTAATTGCATTGTTAAAGGAATTATTGCAGGGAAAAGCCATCCACCCAGGGGCCTGGAGACTGCATGCCTAATGAAGGCTGGGCACTATGTTGACGTGACACAGGTCCCAAACTGACAATAAACTACGAGGAGCTCCACTGACTTCAGTGGGGCTCAATGAAGTGGCAGGAGTCCACCCCCATGGAGCACAGGATTGGGGCCATAGCATGAGAATGTTTCTGCGTGCATATGTATGAGCATACTCTCATGCAGCCAGCCTGATAGCTGCTAATTCACACCTTCTTGGTTGGCTCAAAGAGCAGAATGAATAGCGACTTCAGAGAAAAGAGCTGGCAGGATGGCCCTGCTGGAAGAAGATGCATCTCAGTGTTGGAATATTCAATAATATACGGTATATGGATATAACACTTTACCTTGGCACTGGTATCCCTGCTTCCCAAATACTCCCCTGTTCAAAACAAAACAAAACATGGAACGTGATTCACAATCACAAACCAAAACAGTTTGGCAGTTGTCTCATGAGGGCAGAACTGAAAGGCAATGAAGCCCAAGCATTCTGTTTTCCAAAGCAAACAGCCAGTGGTGACAAGAAGACAGTGAGCTGGCTGAGATTCAGTGCATGTAACAAAGGGACAAGGAAGGCTTTGGCTCACAGGGTAGGCTGTCAAAATGCATCTTTCTTTCCACATTAAATCTCTCACTGTATTTCCTTAAGTACTTCACCTACATTACTCTAAACAAAACAATTATTATTTGGACCAGATTACATGAGCTCCATAATTACCTCTGAAGGCCTCATGTTCCATATGGAACGGAGAGACATAACAGAGTGGGAGATAATTACCTCTCCCTCTACCCACGCTCTTCTCAACCATTTCAGTTTAATGGATTGTTACCCCCTAATCTTTCTACCCATATTAGTTCCACATCTATTAACCTGCTCTTTATGCCTTGAATGGTTTTTGTCTCCTCATCCACCCAGCGCTCTCTCTCTCCTCCTTCAAACCCACTTCTGCAAACAGCCATTCCTGCTTTCTTCTCACCATCAGTAATTCACTCAGCATCAACTGAACTGCTGTCCAGGGTCTCGTACAACCATTAGTCTTGTCTAACTCAGGCTGTAAGATCTGTTTCTCAATCAACATTTGTAAAGCACCATGTAACTAATTCAGTATTGATTGCTGCATGGGGGTATACCTGCTAGACAGAGTGTAAAGGTACGGTTATGGGCTTGTCTACATGGTCACTTAGCACATGGTAAGCTGGGGTGTAAATCTACAAAGCACCAGCTTGCTGTGTACTAACTCACAGCATGGACCCTGCTACTATGCACTAAAAGTTCTGTGGTGCACTTTGACCTACTGCTGCAGTAGTGGGGTTCACATGGCAACTTAAGTGTGCAGCAGACTAGTGAGATGTACAATCACGACCTAGGATGACATGTGCTCACCATGTGCACAAACCCACAGTGGAAGGAAAGGCCCAGGTTGTTGTTTTTTAAGTCATTCTTACCAGATAAACTCCTTGCAGTGGGAGCAGTACGTTGGTTGTCGCAAATATGTAGCCATAAATTTGTGCCCGTTGACTTGATGTACTCTTCTTCGCATAGCCCTCTGGCGTTTCCGAGTAAAATTTTTAAAAATTCTCTCTCTCTGGAGGGTTCCTATACAGAAAAAAAAAATACAACGTAAAAATTAATTTATGATTATCTATAGAACAGGGAGAATAATTATTAGTTTATATAATGCTTTTGACCATATATCTCGGAGCGCTTTACAAGGTTATCAATCATAATAACCCCAATTTAAAGACAGGGAAATTACAGAGAGAAATTATTTGGGCCAGATCACGGAACAAGACAATGGCAAAGAGAGGAACTGAACCCACATCTCCAGAGTGTCAGTCCAGTGTCCTATCCACTAGATCATAATTTTCACTTGCTCGATGAATGCTATTTACCTCACCTTTGGTGCTCTCATGCTATATCTAAGCATCACCCTTTGGGGGATTTTTTCCTTTAAGTATTAAACAAAACGTAAAGGCCTGATCAGTGGTTTTAGGGGACTCAATTTTTTGGTGCCCACCTGGCGGCCTCTTAAAGGAGCCTGCTTTATCAGAGTTGTGGCATTTAGCACTTTCTGAAAATAAGGCCCCTTTAAGTTCTCTCACTTTGTGCGCACAAACTGAATTACTCCAAATCACTACTCAATTAAAAAATTTAGGACTAATTTAGCCATATAAAAACATCTTCCCGCAAAGCTAAAGTTATGCAAAACATGCACTGACTCATTTCTAAAGCACAGAAATGCTGTCTATATCAATAAAGCCATTCACAGATATTAACGGATATCTAACATAAAATCATAGTGGTCTTGCATTTTCCTATATACAGAGCACTTTTCATCTAGAACGACCCCAGCACTGACCAGGTTTGACCTTGCGTAGCTTCTCAGATCAAAGGCAGTAGACATTTGCATCAGATAAGACATGAATATTGCAAGGAACAGGCCAGTCTAGGTGTACTGCTGCCCTCTACTGGATGGAATCAGAGCTGATCAACCGTGTATTGTGCTACACTTACTGTAGAATGCTAATGGAGAGTCTCCTCTAGTGAAAGTGCTCAGGGCCCAGGCCTTGGGATAGGACATTAAAGGTTCTATTCAAGTTGGTGTCAGGAAGTTCTGCATGCCATGGTGTTCAGCATAGTGACAACTCAGGAGACTGTCGAGCTGCAGACTCATTCGCCTATTAGCTTATGATCGACACCACTTCCCCTAATCATATCTGAAAGTGTAGCTACTAGTACCAGAGGTGATGCGTCGGGGTGGGGCACATGGGGTCACATGCCCTACTCCTCTCCCTCACCCCCCAATTTGCTGCTTGACTTATATTGAGCATGCTCAGTAATGGCTGCTGAAGCCGCTACCCTCACTCTTCCCCCCACACTATCGGCATGTATGGGTCATCTCTGGCTACTAGTGTAATAACCACCACATTTACCTCCTAAGAATGGCCTGACAGAATGTACCCATGTCCACACCCTACATGCTACTGTTATAATCTTTGTACAAGGTATATCTTGTAAGGTATCATTCGAAAATTCATAATTCGCTGGTCAATATTGTCCTGATAAAATGTGTGTGGCAACATTGTATGTGCGGTTATAAGATTTCCCCGTATGATGTTAACGATAAGTTTCAAACATGTGGCAAACAGGTCTGTCCGCACGTAAGTAGTAAACACGGTTATCAAGCAGGAAGGGAGACAAAGGAAGCTAAAACAGGTGGCAAAACCAGCAGGAAACATCCTTACATATACTCTATCTCCTGAATCTCAGCTAGAAATGTTTTCCAAGTGGGGGACTGACACTATAAAAAGGAAGAACAACCAACCCCAGGCACCCTATCCTCTCTCTCTCTTCCTCCCTCCATCAATTCACTGCTTGAGAAGGGACAAAGGGAGCAGCCATTGAACAGAAAAGGGTTCCTGGCCTAAGAAGTCGGGCCAGTCAGACTGTTGAGAGCATGTGGTGAGAAAACTTTGCTTTGAATTTAACATTGTTTGTCAACTTAGGCCTTACTTGTGTTTTATCTTTATTTTTCTTGTAACCGTTTCTGACTTTTATGCCTCATTACTTGGATACACTTAAAATCTCTCTCTTTGTAGTTAATAAACTTGTTTTACTGTTTTATCTAATCCATTGTGTCTGAACTGAAGTGTGTGAAGAACTATTTGAAATAATAAGCTGGCATATTATTATCTTGAAGAAATAAAGGACCTAACACACTTGTATCATCCAGGCGAGGGTGGGCAGTACAGGACATATACTTCTGGGGGAAATCTAAGACTGGGAGTGAGTTGGGGTCACTCTGTACTATAAGCAAGGCTGGTAAGAGCCAAAGCACGGCTGGCTGGCTGCAGTGCTCACAGACACAGAGCTGGGAGTGACTTGCATGCTGGAGACCTTTTGTGAGCCAGGAGGGAGGCTACAACAGCAAAGCAGTGTGAAGGGCACTCCAGGTTAGAGGGCAGGGGCCACACAGCTCCCCGTTAGTCGGGACTGTATCCTCAGTATATCACAAATGGGTTGAAAAATTTTCCCATTTTTCAACCAGCTCTGCCCATTAGACATTTTTTTAAACAACAAAAAATGCTACCAACTTGATCAAGGCTTGAGGGGGGAAAAGAGTTAAACATCGTAAGCATATTTCATGGTCCTTTCTGCAGGAACAGAGATAGAGGAAGTCATGCTATCAGTGCGGCAGCCAACCATTTCAAAGGGACGCCAACCATATGATACACTCCAGTCTCTTTGAATTCTTGCTGTATAGCTTAAGAAGGAAAACTATCAGTAAAGCTCAGATTTTTTTCTGCTGGATACTTTAGTCTTTTCTGCACATGCTTCCTTTCACTTGCACAAACTGGAAATTTCATACCTGATGACATAACTAGGACACTGAAGACTGCTTGCCTTTCAAGACAGCGTGAATTTATTTTTAAAATGAAAACACACCATAAATTGGGATCTGCTCATTAAACAAAGCAGGGATGTGGTATGTATGATCGAAGAACTTAAAAAGAAACTTGCTTTCTTTATAGCCAGTCTTCTAGCTAACGTAAAGGATATTGCTCAGAAAGACAACAGGAAATCATCCCAACACATGCTTAACTCCCATTGAAGTCAATGGGGCTTAACACAGGAATTGTTTTACTGAATGGGACCCATGGTCCATCTAATCCAGTATCCTTTCTCCAACAGTGACCAATATCAGATGTTTCAGAGGAAGCTGTAAGTACCCTGCAGCAGGCAGAGACGGGATAATCTGCCTCTGACATTAAGTCTCACTCTGATTTCTAACAACTAGTTTAAGACCTGAAGCACAAGGTTTAACATCCCTTCCAAATGTTTTGTTATCATTAATCATGGTGACTCTGGATATTCTTGATCTCCATACAAGTCTCCAATTCCCTTTTGAATTCTCCTAAATTCTTGGCCTCAGTGACTTCTTGTGGTAATGAATTCCACAGTTTAATTATACATTGTGTGAAAAAACATTTTTTATAATTTTTTAGTTTGCCATTTTCTAATTTAGTTGATTATACCCTTGTTCTTGTATTAAGCACATGCTTAAGCACTTTCCTCAACCACGGCCAAAAAAAATACCAACAAAAAACCAAAACAGCAAGGAAAGTATCCTGCATCAGAGTTTCAGCACTGATAATGCACCTCCTCGGCATTGAAGGTGAAATGAAGAGAAAGGACTATAATGTTTGTAAGTGTCCCTGTTTATTCAATGCATAGTAAATGGACTAAAGAATAATTTCAATGTACAGCTTGCTTTCCATCAGTTGTTCCACTGGGAAGCCCAGAAGATCCTGCCCTTCACATTTTGTCACTCATGTCTGCCAGAACTTAAGAGAATGTGTTTTTAATTTATCATGTATATTTCCTATTTTCCTTTTGGCTCTCCTCAGGGATCTGCACAGAGAAAATGCTCCCCTGTGCCATCCCAATTTCTAAGCATCCGATGTGTAACGACAAGCAATCAAGTTCTTTGCAAAAAGAAACAACTATTGAGAAGTCAGACTCATTAATCTCACTTAGGGGGATTCAGCTGTGCATTCATGAGCTTTGCCTCATTATTTTAGAGAGGCTGAGCTTTGGAATCATCTATCTAAGTCAGGCAAGTTAAGCTCTTCTTTGTTTTCTTAAAAAACATCATCCCACTTGCTGGTGCTAAAGTTTCAACACCTACTCACTGCATCGACTATATTTTCAAAGCATTTCATGGGTGTGATGAAATCCTGCATAGCGTTTTGATGCTTTGAACAGTTCTTCAGACCCTACTAAGGGGCTTTTCTGTGGTTACCAGTTCATAACTGCTTTGGCTCAGAACCAGTACACTTGTGAATCTATGTGTTATTCCTTTATGCCATTTGGGGGCTTTGATCCTGGAAACAGGTAATTTGTAGACAAAGGTCCCCCTGCCAGGGCGACCCTACTCAGGTCTGGAGGTGGTCATTTTATTCCCCTCCTCCCAAGTATTTCCTAGGAAACCCACTCAACAAACAGTTCGTTCTTGTCTTAGCCCACTGTTTAACAGAGTCCTCTGAAGCTCATAATGGTTCCCTACGTTTACATGAGTCATGTCTTCTCGATAAGTTACATACAATCCCACCATAACACAAACATTTGCATTTTTAATACAAGCTCCTCAGATACTTACTTCCATAAGTTTTGTCCAAGATATTGAAGAAATTGCCATACTTGTTACACTCAGCAACTCTTAAATCTGGCCCAAATTTATTATAAAAATGTTTGAATACACTAATTTTCCCTTCCAGTTCAAAGTACCTCCTTCCCCACAACCAACTTCCATCAAGATGGCAAAATCCCAGCAATCTCTCCTCCCGTACCCACCCACTTCCCCATTTTACAACAACATTTTACAAAACAAAGCAAAAAAGTCACGATTTGAAAAACTCCAGATTACTTTAGTACTTATAAACTTTTAAAACCCTCCAAACTCTGGTAATGTAACTAGCAGTATGGTCCAAATTCTGCTATCATATACATGCAAGCAGCTCCCCAATGAAGTCAAAGGGAGTGGCCCATACTGTGCTGATGGCTAAATTCAGCCCTCTATAACAACAGGGTGCTTA